GCTCTACCACAGACAATCCCACGTCCATTCCTCTGACGCTCTAAAGATCCGGGACAGGTACTGGAGAGGCAACCAGAATCACCCAGGTCAGCCCCTAGGACAAGGGCCCCGAAGGTCCAGCTCTCACAGAAGCTCTGGAAGGTGTGCACTGTGGCGGTGGGGAGGCTGACTGTCCAGAACAGAGCTGTCGCTGCCCCCGACACCCTTCCCTGACTGAGAGTCTGTAAACTTCCTTCCTCTCCTGGTTTTTGGGGTCTTCCATGGGGTAATTAACAGGACAACAATAATTAACTCTAAGAACAAGGTTCTCTGTCGTCCAGCTTTTAAGTACTTAGCATGAAACACAATGATGGCTGCTTGTTTAAGGACGCCTGGGAAGACAACAAGAAAGATTTCTGAGATGAGAATAGTGTTCCAAGGCAGGAAACACACTCTGGGTGCTGGATCCGAGCTCGGTTCACGGTTCCCAGCTGTGTCCTCTTTCCCAGGGCTGCACATTTACAGTGGTTGTTGGTAACCCAGGCCGACTGGTCCGTCAGAATCCCCAGGGAAGGCGCCCTGAGGCGGAGGAGGCCTCAGAAAGCTGGCTGTGGCCAGAGCTGCAGGGATGGGTTTCAAGCACATGCAACAGACATTCACCCGCATGGTCCCCAGACCTTCGGACACTTGGGGTGCTCTGAACCCCTGCGGGCAGGGCCCAGCCATCCAGAGCAGAGGCTCCAGGGGAGGGTCTGTGAAGCCCAAGCTTGGGTAGGGGGGGTGACATCACAAACGAGAGGAGCCCAGAAACTGCAGACCACTCAATTTAATGGCATTCGGGAAAGCAGTCAGTGGGAAGATTGTGGATGGGCCCCAGGCAGAGGCTAGAGCAAGCAGGGAGGCTCAGGGAACAGGGAGAGGCAGAGGTGCGGCCAGAGAGCTGAGGGAGAGAATCCAGACTCCCCGCATCTCTTAACAGGAACCTTGGAGGCCGGACGGGGTGCACCTCCAAGTCCTGGGGAGAGACTGCCACACCCAGCCAGGAAACGCTTTACACACGCGAGGTCCTGCCCCACAGAGCTGCTCCCCCAATCACTCCTCCCCCTCTCCTACAGCAACTCGAGAGTGTGACTGATGCGTCTGGCCAGCTAGACCCACCAGCAGACGCGAGCGGTGGGTGCCGCTTCCTGGGAGCCCCCCGCCCACCCCGCCGTCCGGGCTGGAATGCTGGTGCCGCCATGTGCCGCAGCACCGCAGAAATGGGGCTGCCCCGGGGACGGCAGACCAGGCAGGGGGAGCCTGGGTCGCCAACACCAGCAAGCTTCAGATGAGCCCTGGACTTCTGCATCATCCCCCAGGACACACCCATCGTCTGTGTGGTAGAAGCCACTGTGTGGGGCCTTCAGCACAGTAGCTGAGCCTTTCCTTTCCTAGGAAGCCCCCGGAAAATGGGAGATCTGTGAAGGAGAGCAGTGCGGAGCAGGTGCAGGGAACGAGCAGTCCGGCTTGCAGGGGGCAGAGGAGAGCCCTCTCGAGGGAAACGTGTACCGAACGGCTGTCTGGCAGGCCTAACTGTCCCGAGAGGCTTTGCACAGAGGACTGGAGGCTGGGTGTTCAGAGCGGGTGGGAGATGCGGTGACGAGACGCAGTCACGGCGCGGGCTCAGCACTCAGCAGCACTCACGCAGGCCGGGTCTGAGGCTGGCCCGCCGAGCAACCCCGGGGAGACGGGGCCACAAACCAGGAGCACAGGCAGCGCCGGAGCCCCCCAGGGGCAGCTGCATTTTGTCGAAAGCCGTCTTGGACCACTTCCACAGAATATCTTGGTTTAAAATAATTAAAAATTTTTTTGAAGTAAGTGCCAAAGAAACATCCAAGGCCACCAAAAGTTCAGAAGTGAAGAATTCACGGTGCAGACGCCTCCAGCCTGCCCTGAGCGGGACGCCAGGCTACCCCAGGGAGCCCCCCACCATTGTCACAGTCGGGCCGGCATGAGCAGTGACACCCCCCCCCAAAGCCCACGTGGAACAGCCAACAGAGGACCAGGCAGGGAGCGTCCCAGAGGCAGAAAGCAGCAGAGAACATCTCGGGAACCAACAGGGAAGAAGAGAACAAGGCCTTTAAGAAGACAAATCGAACAAACAGACAAAACTAGCCCTACACCTTTTCACCAAATTACTAAAAAACGGTGTTTCATGATATAAATAAAATTCAACTGAAAACACACCTGGGAAAACAGACATACCTACAAACAAAAACAAAGAAAAATCATTTTTCTATTTTGGGCAAGTGTTTTTATTACTACTATCAGTCATTTTAGATGCTGCAGCTTTACTGAATTCTCTAACGACCTGAGTTACCTTGATCATGGAATCTCTTGGATCATCCATCTGCAAAGACAGCTTTCCCTCTTTTCGGCCAAGTCCGGTGCCTGAGTTTCCCTCTGGTTTAATGCCAGCGGCTCAAATCCCCAAAGCAACGTCAATGAGCAGTGAGAGTGTGGCCCCTCACCTCAGTCCTGACCTTGGGGACAGTCCTCAGAGCTCCCCCTTTAAGGAAGATGCTCCCTTTAGGGCTCAGACACCTGTGTTTTACCATGTTCGGGAAGGACCATCAATTCCTATTCTTACTGAGTGTGTTTATCGAGGATGGGTGTCCAGGTGAGTTTATAAGGTCCTCACTGTGGCACGAACCTAAACACCCTGTCCAGATACCCACCGGGTCCACCCCTTCGGGAGACACAACCAATGGTGGGGGAGGGGTGGGGACGGGGAGGCCAGAGGAGAAGGAAGGGACTTGCATGGCTTCACTCAGGACTCAAGGAAGGCAGAAGCCCAAAGCCAGGCCGGAGCTTGTGCCAAGACCCTGAAATCAGAACCACAGGGACGCAGACGGCCCCTCCTTCCTGGTACCTGGGACCAAAATCCCCCGTATGATCTTGCTTGCTCCCCTCGGCTCCTGCTTCCCTCAGTGAATCCCCAGAGGGCCAGTCCACGCACCCAGGACAGGCCAAAAGACCTAGCATCCAACTGCAGTCCTGCGTCCCATATGGGGCCACCTACCCACCCCAGTTCAGCACGGCCAGCGTCCATGTCGTGTGCTCTTAAGTGGTGGGACAGGAGCTGGGCTGCAAGATCAAGACTACCCGGTGTGTAAAAGGCACAGAGAATCGGACGGGGAAGAATTTTTCAAAGACGCAGACACAGCACAGAAATTGCTCAATAAAAGCCGAATTAGCATTCATCTCAGCTCACGCGTTTCTCCTGCGCTTGGCATCCACTGAATTACAAGCTAGAGAAGACTTTGACAGAAATGAGTTTAGACACCACTCTTACGGATAGCATTCTCTCTGTAGGAAAACGCCATAAAATTACAGTTCTTCCCAGGTGTTTTCGGCACAGTGTTTATTTTGTTCACTCGCTCCTAATGACTTATTAGGTGATGTTTAGTGATGATTACGTTTGGGGAAAATACTAGGCTTTTTTTTTTTTTTAACTTGTGGGCACAAAACCTCTACTAAAATAGGCATTAAATACTGCAAAGCCCTCATAAACATTCCTTAAACGCACTTCTTAAAGAAACGTGCCTGCCTCAAACGCAGCAGCTCAGGCTCTGTAAATGAGCATGGATTCTAGATTTGCAACAGTTCCCTCACTCACACCGCCAGGAGGTGCAGACAGAAGACTGGGCTTGTCAACAAGGAGACGGCGAAGGGTGGAGATGCCGCTTCTCCCGAACTTCCAACACGTGGACAAGACAAGCAAAAATTCTAGCACAAAGTTTCACAAATTTCAAGCGGAATGGAGCTCAATGAGGCTGAAAGACAATTCTCAGCAGTTACGGGGCCTGGGCTCCAGATGGGGAGCTCAGAAGAGGGGCTGCCCCCCACTTCTAAGAGGCAGGAAAGGGCTGGTGAAGAAGAGGAGACAAACAAGCCTATGGGGCCACGACTGTCCTCATGGTACAGAGACACTCAGACCGCCACCGCATGCGCAGGCCTGGGCGTGCATTTGTCATGAAGCAGAGCTTCCCTTGGGTAGGATCTAAGTTAATCAAATCTAAGGGCACTGTGGCCACCATTTAGTGGAAAGAGAAAAACAATGATGAAAGTTAAAAAACAAAACAAAACACCAAAGAGGATTAGCTAAAAAAGAAGCAAACTTTAAAAATATATCCCAAATCAGGGCCCACTCTTTGACTCTGACAGTCCCAGGGCCCATTATCCCATGAACGTGATCTGTGCCTCTCACTCATGTAAAGCTTTGTAAAGCATCTCTTCGACACTGTGTGAGGCCCTAGAGCCAACACAAAGAACAAGATCAAGCCCTGCCCCTGAGGCCTCGCCTGGTAGAAATATCAATGTAACCCTGCACAGAGTGGTACCATTTGAGCTGGGTTTTGAAGGATGAATAGGAGTTTTCTGAGAGGAAAAGAAAAGAGAGCTTGGTACTCCCGGCATTGGAGATGAGAGTGTAAATGAATGGTATTGTGCCCATGCTTACTGTTTTCCTTAAATTGCAAAAAAATAAGCATCCCCCATTAAAGTAAAAAGCGTCCTTCTATGAACCTGGAGTTAAGTCCCCCTATGTCCCACCGCATTTCCTGAGCCACGAACTTTAAGGTCTATGTTGTTTAAGGTGGAATCTGACCAAAGTTAGAAATAAATGAGAACACAGGAGGCAAAAACATGCTTCAGTAGCCCCTTTGTTAGTGGGTCACACTGTTATTCCCTGGGGACATCACTGTCCCCCGAAAGGCCTTGCCCCATCCCACGGCCACTACACACCTCATGGTTCTATGCTCCCTGGGTTGCGTGTGACCCTCCAACAGGATAGTCATCCATCTGACTTGTTTCCAATTTTAAAAACAGGCACCGACTGTATTTCGGTAATTTATCATGCAGCCTCTTAAAAATTTAAACTTCTAACTCGTTAAACACTGGAGCCTAAACTGGGTCAGACGGCAGCCTGGCTCCTGGGGAGACAGGCAGGCATGAGCGAGCGGCAGCCGCTCACTTCTTACCTCCATGCACAAAGCCATGCAGGGTGCAGTCGGAAGGCCCCACCAGGTGGATCAGGCTGGACTGGCTGTAGCTGACGGTGTTCGGCTCTGGAATTACAAAGGAGAGAGGTTAGGCCGTGGGGCAGATTGATGCCCACGACTGAGCGCGTGGCATCTGCACGGCCGCCTAGGGCGCCCAAGTGCCGGCAGCTCAGGTGTGATTCCTCTAAGGAGAACCGTGGTCTCCACGTGTTCCAGTCCGTGGAAGGAAAGGCTTTCAAGGTTTCATCGGCCACTCTGTTAGTGGGTCATGATGTCCATCCCTGGGGACACCAGTGTGCCCAGCAAGGCCCGTTCCCAAGACACAGGCAGCCAGTCAATACCTCGCAGCTACATGCTCCCAGGGCTGTGGTGACCCTCCGTCTGGACAGTCATCCCTCTGACTTTCACTCACAATTTTGTAAACAATCGCAGACAGTTTCAGAAACTCATCACGCAACCTCGAGAGCGTGCACATGCACTCTTCACTGAACAGGGTGGTAGATGGAGACGCCGCAGACCCAGCCTCCCTGGATGGCACCCCGGGACTCCTGCCAGCCCTCGGGCTCCGACCCAGCCCAGGAAGACTCAGCACCCAGAGGCAAGCCGGCTTTTCCCTCCCGTTCACCGCCCCAGCTCGCCACATCCCTGGGGGCCTCCCTCCCTCCCTCCCCCATCCCTGCTGCGGCCAGAATATCTGGAAGAAGCTACACTTAAACAAACATATGAAATAAAACCCTGTCCCGAAAGACAGATAAGACACCTCAACACTGCCTCTTCTAACAGGTGTGGAGAACGCTCCTGTGTAGGGTCTTCTGAGCAGACCCACCACTGCCTCCACCTTCCAGAGCCTTCTGGGCACGGCTGATGCTCTTCTGTCTCCTGCCTGGACAGCTGGTGCTCAGAGGGGGTGGCCACTCCTCCCCCAGCAAGGCCGAGCATCAGCATCACCTCCAGACCCTGCCTGGTGCGGAATTTCAAACCATGTGGTTGCCTGAAGGGGTCATGAGGCAGGAAAACTGGAGCCCGGGTAAACAGAGTCCATTAAGTATGTCCATTAAGTATTTAAATCCAAACTCATTTTGTACTTGCCCTCGAGCCTCGTGGCTTAGAGGAGTCTGGAGCGCTTGTGTGAAGTGCCCTCTGCGGCATTTGAGAGGCCATTGTGAGATGCTGCCGGCAGGGCCCTCGGCCGCACGGGGAGCTGAGAAGTGGCTCCGACTCTGGACAGAGGGCTCTCATTCTCATGCTCAGCTAGCCTGCTCCCTCCACCTGCTTTCCGGGCCGCTGTGTGCCACGTGAGTTCCCAGCTCCTGCCTCAGGCTCCTGGCCTGGAGTCAGGAGCTCCTGGGCGACCATGGAGGGGAGGAGTCCCACCTGTGAGGCTACCTTCTGGGGACCTGGCCATCCAGCACACCCATCTGGATGTGGGTCAAACGGTCCTTGCAAGTGGTCCCTCCATGAGCTGGGGTACGAGGACACTACCTAAAACCAACCAACAGACAACACCGACGACTCCGAGCAAGGCGGGATGGGGATGACAGCAAATGCTCTCAGGAAGGGCACTCCAGGTGTCCCCTGGTGTCCACGAGGACTGCATTCGATGCACATGGCCTGTGGCTTTGACTCAAGGGAGGAGCTGCTGCTCCCAGCTGCCCCTTCAGTGCAGGCGTCCCAGACCCCAGGGGTGTCCAGAGCATCCTGGACTATCTATCTGAGACCACGCTGGGCCCCAGGGTAATGCAGTACATGCAGACACACCGCACGGGATGGGAAGCAGGACTTTGCCCTCCCCAGTTTCTCATCTCACTCGGAAATGGAAAAGACGTACCCCCCAAATCCCTGTGGTGCTATGGGAGGTGCAGGGGACAGTCCCTGCTGGTGAGGGTGCACCCAGCCAGGGCCACGCCTACAGCTGCCCTTGGGGGTTCAGACACCTGGACCCTGCCTGGGGACAGCTGCTGGAGCCACAAAGCACACTGATGAAGACCCCCTGCCATCACACCTGTCAGAGAGACTCCCCCAGCCAGCACTAGACAGGCCACTGCACCCCTGAGCTCAAGACAGCCTCCCTTAGGCCCTGTCTCTCTGCAACCCATGCAGGTGGAGAACAGAAAGGCCCCGAGAACCAAGGGGCACACTCCGCTGCCTTTGTTTGTGTCCCACTCATAAAAGACACAGAAGTGACTCTTATAGCACCAACGAAAACTAAGAGTCTCAAATTTGGCCCAATCTCAGGAACTGCTTTGACCAGCTAACAGTTATGCAGGTGGCTAATGATGAAATTTTTAGAAGTTCAAACCACAGAAAATGGCACACAAAAATTTTTGTCGTGTTGGGGCGCCTGGGTGGCTCAGTCATTAAGCGTCTACCTTCGGCTGGGGTCATGATCCCGGGGTCCTGGGATCGAGCCCCGCATCGGGCTCCCTGCTCAGCAGGAAGCCTGCTTCTCCCTCTCCCATTCCCCCTGCTTGTGTTCCCTCTCTTGCTGTGTCTCTCTCTGTCAAATAAATAAATAAAATCTTTAAAAAAAAATTTTTTTTTTTCGTGTCAAGTATCTATTCAGATGACAAGCCATTTGAAATAATGATCACAACTTAGTCAAAGAGATGCCCCCACTGTCTTCTAGGAATGTTTAAAAGTATCAGTTAGACCGTGTCTAATTATTTCATCGTCTTAGAACTTGAATTGATAAGCTTTTAAATAAGTGAAAGCACCACTATTCTGATGGGGAAAAACAATACATCCATGTAGCCGTCCCCCAGTCCTGCTTCCCTTGGCCATGAACCTGGCCCCCACATGGCTCTTCGAGGGTGGGCCTGTGTCTACTTTGTGTGTGTGTTTGGTTCAGTCGCTGGTTGGGCACCTCTTGCCCTCGGTCATCCTCAGTGGCCTCTCCCCTGTTCCTTCATGCTCCGTATCTCAGGTGAAGCACAGTGACACGTAAAAAGGCTCTGCAAGTGCAAGGTTGAGCCACAGAGATTTGGGGGTTCTCTGTCACTGCTGCCAGTGTTGTCTTAACAAATACCTGACTGGCACCAGAACTGGGGCCCGCCCAAAGGAAAACCTTTATTCTGAGGGTCAAGGGCACTGTTTACCGTCCCCTGGGCTTAGAAGGTGGGACACTTGGTCAACCTGAAGATAAGCCTGTGGGGCCACAGCACCCCGGGAAATGGCTGAAAGGAGTCAGAGTGGTCCCGGGAGCTTCTCCTTCCTGCACTGACCAAGGGAGGTCAGGAAAGAAAGAGCCAGCTTGGAAGCATAACGGAGAGTGAGTGGAGCCCAGAGACCTGGGGCACCAAAAGGTGGGAAAAGCCTATTGCTTCTGGGGATGGAGGGAGAGAGATCAAAGCCCATCACGACTCAGCCCACGAGTGTGTCCACGAGAGAGCCACAAGGAAGCCACCATCCAGCAGAGAGAGCTTGACAAGCGTGTCTGGGAAGGATGCTGGGTGTGACTGTCACAAGCAGCTGACAGGAAGCCAACAGATCAACACCCACGAGGCTTAGGAGAGACAGCTGTTCAAGCCCTAAATAACCTCTGATGTCCCCCGTCGTAGGCGAGCAGGCGCCCACTTCTGAAGAGGCCGTGGAAGACAGCGGACAAGGAAGACCCTTCCGGAGAGCAGACGGGGACTGAGGAGCTTCCCACCCTCCGAGAGCAGCCCTCCCCGCCAGCACACCAGCCCCGGGAATGTGTGAGCGCATTTGCCCTTCGTCTCTCATCTTTTGTCCCACCTCCATGTGGACACCGTGCTGGTGCAGGGGACCCATGGTTTGGTCGCCAGCCACTGGCCCACAAGGTACTGCACCTAAACCCAACAAGAAACCACACGCAATCCGAGATCCCGCTCTCTGAGGTCAGGTGGTGGCTGGACAGGATTCTGGGTGAAGTGACCCACACGGGCAAGGGAAAGAAACAGGACACAGCGGTCAGCGGGCAGGACCGGGCAGCCCCTTCTCCTCGCCTTCTCCACGCACGGCTAGACCACACTGCCGAGCCTCCTCTGCAGGCTGCCTTCCCACCAAAAGGGCATGAGTGGACGTGCTACCTGCTTTCATCCCAACCCATCCAAACCCCAGATGGGTGAGCCCCCTGATCTCTCCCCTTCCAAGGTAACCCCGAAAGCTACCTGTTCAAGATGCACAGCTCTAAGATGAGTCCACCCCAGCTGCAGGGCACCCCCTGATCAGGAATGCCTGGTTTGGACTTCATGAGAAATAAACCTCTACTAAGTCAGGCACTAGGATTTCAGGGTTCAGCAGCTACAGCAGCTACCATGACCCTGGCTAACACGGTGCCTAATGTCTGGGTCTCAGCGTCACAACAACGTCCAGAACCTGAGTGAGGTCCCCGGGGCAGCAACGGGAGAGGTTCAACACAGCTATAAACATACACAGGATTCCCCTTTCCTGTGTTTCCAGCCGAGGAAACAGAGGCAGAGAGACTAAGTCCCCACGGAGGCAGAAGTGGGATTCAGACCCGGGCAGCCCGACACCAGACAACGTGTCCCTCACCGCCCCACCTCTGCCTCCTCACACCTTGCTCTCCCCAGAACAAATGCTGATGGGCGCAGGATGATGGGGCCTGGTCAGATCCTGGGAGACCCGAGATGGACACCAAGCACTCTCAGGGGCGGCCGGGCACGGGCTGACCACAGGGAGGCAGAGCCTGGGCCCAGCCCGGCAACTGGAGCTGGATTTCTTTGTCATCAACCTGACAGCCCCCAAATGGCTCCAGATGGCCACATACATGGTCAAAGCTGGACATCTGACGGCTGTAGATCAAACCGTTCAAGGAAATTGTATTTTCTCTTGTCAGATGGAGAAAACAATTAAAAAAAAAAGAAAAAAAAAGCTGGGTTTTAAAGAACTCCCAGACTCTCTGAAAGGACACCTGAAGGATGAGGTCAGCCCAGCGAGGGAGTTGCTAGGCAACAGCCTGCTGAAATTGGGTTCTGGTGTCAACGGTGACAGAGCTGCAGATATGGGGGGAGGCGGGTCCTCCCACAGGGAGGGGCTGGAGTGTTCGAAAGACCCCCAGGGCTGAGCACACGCTCTGCCCTTCCTGCGGAGCTCCTGTCCCGCTGGCCCCCGGGGAGCCCATCCTGCCCTCCCCCGGGCACTGGGAGGCCTGTCTGCAGAGGCCCAGCCCCACCCTGCTAGGGCAAAGCCAGTTCTACTGAGAGACTGAGGTCAGAAATGCGGACCACATTCCAAAACACCAAGGAATGGGCATGTGACTTCCTTAAGAAGCATTTAAAAGCCAGTCCCTAAACCAGTCATCTGAGAAAGATGCATTTTTATGGGAACATATAAAAATAAAAATAAAAGCTTATAAAAATCTATCAAGACATTTTGAGATTCAGGGGGCGCCTGGGTAGCTCAGTCAGTAAAGCATCTGCCTTTAGGTCAGGTCATGATCCAGGGTCCTGGGATCGAGCCCCATGTTGGGCTCCCTGCTCAGCAGGGAGCCTGCTTCTCCCTCTCCCACCGGGTCATGCGTGCTCTCCCTCTCTCTCAAATAAGTAAATTAAATCTTTTAAAAAGGAGGCAGTGGCGCCTGGGTGGCTCAGTTGGTTAAGCAATTGCCTTCGGTTCAGGTCATGATCCCAGGGTCCTGGGACTGAGTCCCACATCGGGCTCCTTGCTCAGCGGGGAGCCTGCTTCTCCCTCTGCCTCTGCCTGCCACTCCCGCTGCTTGTGCTCTCTCTCTCTCCGTCAAATGAACAAGATGCACAGCTCTAAGATGAGTCCACCCCAGCTGCAGGGCACCCCCTGATCAGGAATGCCTGGTTTGGACTTCA